TGATTATCATTTCTTTTATTTATGTTCTTATTCTATACTAGAATAGCAATAATAATAAAAAGACTTAATACTACAACTTCATCTATATACCTAATTCATTTGTCTAATAATAGACATACAAATGAATATATAGATATAACTAAATGAGAATATTAATTAACTTGATATATATACAGGATATTAAAATTATGTAATATTAATATATAATGTCTATATATAATGTACACGAAGTCATAGTTACTTTTAATTTGGGAACTTCGATAAGAAATCATGCAAAACATATCTAGCTTCCATAAGTAACAGGTAACTTGAGAAAAGATAAATCTACAATGTACAATGTGTATCTTTAAAAGTAATCATTTGGTAACTGACAACTTTTTCAATCATTACCAATGATTCTCTATAATCTAAAAAATATCGTCTATATTGTTAAAACAAGTAATAACGTTTCGATTTCCTCTTTATTCTTTAAAAATTTTATGCCTCTTACTCAATCTCTCTATATAACCAACTTCACCTATCGTGAAGGACATACAGAGAGAAACATTGTAACTTCGCTTTTCAAAGCAGAGCAGAATAGTTAAAAAAATGGTTGATATGCATCTTCTTTCCCAAATTCGCGTTAACTCTACAGATTGGAGGGTTTATGTTAAGATAATGCGTATCTGGCATCACAATCCACCATTGAATGGTGATTTAACCACCATGATTCTCGCAGATGAGAAGGTTTTTTTGAAATTCTTACCTTCTGTTTTAAAACATAGTGAAGATCATCTTATGAGTTTTTTTACTTACTGTCTGTTAACGTTTTTTTTTTTTTTTAAGGGTAATTTCTGCGATGCAACAATTCCTAGAGACAATTACATGTGGAACTTTCAACCTGGACTCAAAGAAGGTTTGTGGTATTACATGTCTGACTTCCAACCAGTCGTACCCTCAGAATACCAAACCAGATTTGCAGCCATGCCACTTCAGATTAGGTGTATCAGACAAACAACCATTTGGCCTATTAGATCTAAGGGTTATAGCAATTTCTTTGATTTTGTGACTCCTGATGCTGTCAGAAACCCTCATCCAGATGATGGAACCTATGTGACTGGTAATAGAAGACACTTTGTTCAAGTTATATAGTTATCTTTCTATATGTCTTTCTGACCATTATGTGTTGTGTTTTTAATTAGATGCTATGGGTGTGATCTCTGCTGTTTCAACCATCGGAAGGTTTCCATTTGTTTGTCGTCCTGGGGAGACAGATTATGAAGCTCGCTATGTTTGTTTCAAGATTGCTAACAATGTGTAAGTTATCAATATTTCTGTCTATTTTTGTACAAGATAATGAAGTTTGTTATCATGTTATATCTGGTAAAAACAATATGCTTTAATGGCTACATGAAATCTAGGGGTGAGACTATCAAATGCGTTGCTATTGGTAAGTGGTGTGAGTTCTTTGTCAACGCTTGGTCCAGGAGAATTAGCTCTGTAGAGTACAACTATGATAAGATAGTTGCAGTCTTGCGTTTCTGGAGGATCTCATCGTACTGTGGTAGGTTTTAATGAGATTTTGCTTTTGCTGAGCTTATATTTGCATTGTTATATTGACTGTGTTCATTATTGTACTATAGGAAACAATGTCTTAATGAGTGAATCTTGCTGTTCACGTCTGTACATTGATCCCATTTTCTATGAGCTAGACATACCAAGCTACCTGTAAGTATCATTTGTATTTTAGACTTCTTTAATGTTTTCATTTTTCTGTGTTAATATAAATGCAACTATTTTCTGTTAGGCGCTCATTCGAAGATACTTCAAGTGATGAGGAAGATGTCATGATGGAGATGGTTGAGGAGAACTAATAGTTGTGAGGAATATCGGTGGATATGCTACGGTGGCTACCTCTTATGGAGAACTTGAATTTTAGGTGTTATGTTTTCAGTTTCCCTTTTGAACTCTGAATGTTTTTTAATTTTCTTTTGGTTTTATTAACTACTACTGCAACTCTGCACAAGAGTTTGCAAACTATGTTTCTCTTTAATATTTTAATCTGTATTGATATTGGGCTACAAGTTGTGTGGTTTTTTGATATTTTGATGTCTACAAGTTTAAGACTAAAGCCTATTTATATATAAAGGTTACAACTTAGTTATGAATTTAATTCAAACTAAATCAGAAACCTAAATATTTTGGAAAATTCGTTTACTTTAGTCAAGTAAATGATTTGGTTTAAGAAACTGTTTTGAAAGCATACCTTATTTATTGGTATTGGTATGGTTTAGAGAAGCATCAATCAAGATCTTCATTGCTTCCTGTATTTCCTTAATCTGCGCAATTATCAACCAAACTTAACTTTAAAAACTTATCAATTATTATATGAATCACTAACAAAATAATTGAACAGATTATGAAAATATTCTCATTGAACCATCTAACTTTATCTCAATGCCTAGAATATAGAAAGTAACTATATTTTCTCAACAGATTAATATTAGTGGATTGCTGGCGTATCTGCCATTTTGTTACTTTAGTCAAGTAAATGATTTGGTTTAAGAAACTGTTTTGAAAGCATACCTTATTTATTGGTATTGGTATGGTTTAGAGAAGCATCAATCAAGATCTTCATTGCTTCCTGTATTTCCTTAATCTGCGCAATTATCAACCAAACTTAGCTTTAAAAACTTATCAATTATTATATGAATCACTAACAAAATAATTGAACAGATTATGAAAATATTCTCATTGAACCATCTAACTTTATCTCAATGCCTAGAATATAGAAAGTAACTATATTTTCTCAACAGATCAATATTAGTGGATTGCTGGCGTATCTGCCATTTAATTTCGAAAAGGCTATTTCAATATGAAGGTCATTGATTATCAAAAGCACCATTTTGCATAAACTCGCTGTGAGTCTTTTGTTTTCAATTATGAAAAAAAAGCCTGACTACCCTCTTATAGACTTGAACTCTTCACCTAAACCAGCTAAAAGATCCCGTGTTATTCAAACTCCTACATCGCAGAGCCAAATTACTCAAACTTATGGCTCTAAGTCTAACTACCCTCTTCTAGACTTGAACTCTTCACCTAAAACAGAGGAAAGAGTCCAGGTTGGTCAAACTTCACCATCACAGTGCCAAATTACTCAAGCTTCTTGCTCTAAGACTAACTACCCTCTTCTAGACTTGAACTCTTCTCCTAAACCAGATAAACGAGTCCAGGTTGGTCAAACTCCAACATCACAGAGCCAAATTACTCAAACTACTATCTGTAAGCCTAAGCACCCTCTACTAGACCTGAACTCTTCTCCTAAACCAGCTAAAAGATCACGTGTATTTCAGACTCCAACACTACAGAGCCAAATTACTCAAGCTAATGTCTTGAACACAAATAGTTCTGTTCCACTCAAATCAGCCTTTAGCAGAGTGTTTAGAGATATTACCAATCTTGCTTGCAGAAATGATGACACACGTAAGACCCCTCCCAATCAGCAGCAATCATTTCGTGCAAAACAGACACATCAAACACTTGGTACTGCTCTTCCTACTTCAGGCTTAGGTAAACCGTCAGGCTATACACCTGTTCCAGAAGAAAATAACTGCCATATCAGAAATTTACAAGACGCCTTTGCTAATGCATCATTTTCTCCTACAGACAAAGGTAACAGACATCTCTTAAGATACTGTCTTACTTTTCAGAGTTTTTCCATCTACTACCTAAATACATTACTTAATAATATCTGTTTTTGTCTTCATAGGAAAAGGAAAAGAACCCGTACTACCAACCTTTACAGACTGTAGCACTGATGATGAAAGTATAGAGGATATTAATTATATTGGAATGAATGACAGTGAATCTGATGGTACACAAAACTACTCTGTTAGCAGCACAGAAGATGAATTAGAAGAATGTTACTCGGCTCCTATTCAGGAACCTCATGTTGAACAGATATTTAATTCTCCACAAGAAGTTATTGATTTGAGTTGTTCAGCTGATGAATCAACTGTTGAATTCACTACTCCCACTATAAGTGTTAGTAGGAAAAGTGTAGAAAGGAAAGCAGTTACTCAAACTATAAATCAGCCTAAGAAAAGAGGTCGGCCAAGAAAAAATGTCCCCACAAAGAGGGCAGCAG